AATTGAAGGTAAAATTTTCTAAACCAATGGCTGTTGAATATAAATAGGCTAATACAGTTTTATAGAGAATAGTCAGATAAATTAATTATTTGACATGTATGATGTAGTTGAAAGGAATCAACTTGACCTTGAAATCTTCTCTAGGAAATTACCATTAATATCACATAATGTGCTCCTTTGTACCAAACAATTTCTTGTAGGAGCATTTTTCTTAGGATCTTTAATCTTTTACGAGTTATATCCATATTGCGAGATAAACGGAATGCCCTGTGTGTTCTTATGTCAAAAAATAGCGAATTAAATCTGCATCAATTATCGATTTCCAGATCGATCATCGATTAAAAATATACAGTATGTCCGTTTTACATGTATTCTCATTTCTTTATCAGAAATACGAAAAACGTTGGAAATTGGATGATATTGAAAATAGTTTTTGATAATGATAATTGTTCGACCCTGAGATAAAGTTCCCCATTAAAGTCAAAGTTAAGTTTTCTAGTAATATTCTACATTTTGCATATTCTTATAGATGTACTTCTTGTAGAAGATGTATTTAAAACACTAATTCATGTACACTTCTCATAAATGTTTATTCAATCGTGGTTCCAAATGTACCGATATTGTGTATGTATATATATATATTAAAGTAATATAATACAAAGTGTTTATCCTTCAACATATATTTTTAGTATCAATACAGTTATCCAGTTGAAATTCATTTTTGCTGCCTTATTTTTTTCGGCTTAGATAATTACTGTCTGGCATCACTAATATCTACATTGATTTAAACAATTCTACATTAGTTATTATAATAATTGTAGCATCATTATTTCGGTTTTACTTCCAATGTGCATATAATGATTAGACAAGATTTAGAATCAAAATAATATTTTTTCTAATAATTAGAAACATTAATTTTACATATTAATCACAATTAACTAATTATATTAATTATTTTCGCACGGAAGCTAGTCTTAAGTATCGCATCTCGAGCAGGTTTATTATTATTATTGTTGTTGATGTTGTCTTTAATTTCTGTTTTCCGTTTTTACACTTTTCCTATGCAAATAAATAAGAACAACATCAAAAAGTGTTACACGTTTTAACCTATTTAATTGAAAGAAATTTGGTATTTATGAATTAATATTATTTCCAGTTTAATAATACTTCTTTACTTTCTCTCTCACGCTCATAGATTACTAAATATTCCTTACGAATTTTTAAAAAATGACATACTACGTAAGAAGAACAAGAAATGCCAATTAAAATATCCAATTACTTTTCTTCTTCTGTCTTTATTTAAGACAAACTATTGTTTGTATGCATACAGGAGGAATTGCCATCTTTTAATTTTGTAAACGAACAATCGAGACGGCCCGAACGGAAAACATAGTTCGCGATTTCCAACTTTATTCTAGTTTCGAAACTTTTCTCAATGTTTCTAGCATAATATTAATAAATTATTATATAATATTACGTAATTTTTGTTGCGACAATAGATTGCCTTAAAAACTTAATTTCCTGTTTATATATGCGCAAAACTTTGAAATCGTTCGAGTAAAAGTAATGTATTGGTGCACATGAAATTTCGGAAATTTCAATTAAAAAAAAAAAAAAATGAATTTGTTACGAAACACGTAAAAAAGATTTATGAGATGTGTAAAATTTATGGTTGCATTCCAATTTAATTTTAATGAGAAACCACGATTATGAAGTACGTTGTGATTCAATTAAACGATAGAACTCAATTACGAATTATAATACCTGACATACTTGGATTACTTTCTAATTATAATTCGTAAAATAATTCAATTGTAATTTTATATAACTCTATCGAGTTATGGAAGAATAATTACTTCGTTTAAAAGCACGATATTTCGAAGGAAGTATGCTGTCTTTGAATAACAATATTTCATATGCACTAACATATTAGAACATTCCTATGCACGTAAAAAAATCATTATTTGTGCTGGAGGAAAGCTGGAAATATGGCGGCATATTGAATGACGAAGAAGGAGGTCAGAAGCGCTGTAACCGAGGGAAAGTGTGTACTGTGAATCAAATCCATGTATTTCGTTCACGCGCACCTCTCTCAGAATTCCAGCTTATCGTTCGACATACTTAATATTTCACTATTCGTTTTGCAATCAAAATGAACCAGCCGCTAATACAGCGACATTCACGAACAGTATTTATCCAGTTTACTTACTTAATAATCAGTTCGTTCAGCAAGTAGAAAGTAAATTGATTGTCGTGTGCTCGCTTGCGGAAAGCCGATTATGCAAGACGATCGATTCTTTTGTTGTAATAGTGTAATAGTAGTTTGGAAAAAAGTCATCGTGCCACTTGTACTGTGCTTTAATTCTCCTTTGTAAGTAGAATAAAAAAAAAACGTTGAATTATCATATAAAAATCAGATAAGCGAAGAGGAGATAGAAGGTAATGCTGTGCATCGAATGTGATTAAGTGTCGAAAAAAATAAGTGTAAAAGAAGATGAAAGTCTTGTTAGTAAAACACTTGGTTCTTTTTATGTTCCTCGTTCTCTGTGTCGTTGAAGTTGAACATGTTGGTAAGCAAGTTTGAATGAAAATGAAAATAATCAATCTCTTTGAGGAGCTAAATTTCGTTCCTTTTTGTAGTAAGATTGCCTGGAAGAAACCGAGTGATGCTCCGTCGAATAAGAGTTGGCCGTGAAAATTCGAAACCGAAAGTTTGCTTTGGTATGAATAACGTGTACAAAGTAACATGTATAAAAAATGTAACATAATTATTAAATAATTATAAGCGGTATAATAATCATGATATAATATATCATTGATTATTATATTATAATATAGCAATACACAATAATATATAATATAAATATATATATTTGATATTATATTATATATATCGTATAAAAATATATTGAAATGAAAAATTATAGAATCCGTTGGCTGCTTCGCGGATCCACCGTCTCGTTTGACGCTGAAAAGGTTGCCAGAACATCCCAACGTGATCCAAACGAGATTTTTATTATACACTCGTTCGAAACGTGAATTCCCTAAAAATCTTCGCTACGACGATGATTCGATATCTATTCTTCAATCACAATTCGACTCGGCAAAGTCTTTAAAAGTTGTGATACACGGTTACAAAGGAAGCGGTAGTGATATCGGCGCGATTCTTATGGTCCAGGCTCTTCTAGACTTGGTAATTAATACAAAGCGAATCTATTATCGATCAAGTTCATAGAGGCTTCTATACATGTTGAAAGTGTTGCGATGCATGCATCGACTTACCTATGTTTCACAATATCTGCATCACTTTGATCAATTCTCCTCAATTTGTCGTGTGATAATTACAATATTTTCAATATAATACGTACTTGCTGCAATACTTCAGTATTGATACGTTAATTATAAAAAATTAAATTAAATTAAAAAAAGATTAAAAAGAGATGAATAAAAAGTCTGGTTAAAACGGACTGTCTAATCTCGCGTTATTAAAAGAGTAACGCGTGATTGTAGAAATTATTTACGTATGAATGATTTTTCTTATCATTGGATAAAGTTCGCTCAAGAATTGAACAACGAATTTTATTCACCAATGAAAATAGGATTCGTGTATTGATATAAGTTGCTCTGATGCCGATATATATTTAAGTACATATAACGCAATGTATAACACGCATAGGAGCCTTAAAAACTATTCACGTAGATGATATACTCATCAGGAGGACACGAACGTCTTAGTGCTTGATTGGACAAGAGGAGCAGCCACGACGTATACGGCGGCAGTGGCGAACACGGAACTCGTAGGACGACAATTAGGCCTGGTTCTTTTAGACGCTGTTAATTTGGGCACTAGTCCTGAAGACATTCACGTAATTGGCTTCAGTCTTGGAGCTCACGTGGCTGGCTGTGCTGCCGAAATTCTGAAAAAGAAGAATATTCTTCTAGGTCGTATAACCGGCCTAGATCCCGCCTCGCCCTTTTTCAGGAATCATTTGTTCAGAGAGAAGTCCAGGAAATTGGACGCTACCGATGCTCGGTTAGTAGATGTGATTCACACAGACGGGTCCCAGGACTTCGCAGATGGATTTGGACTTATGAAGCCTCTTGGTCACATCGATTTCTTTCCGAACGGAGGTAAAGAACAGCCAGGTTGCAACGACGTAAAGAACTCCGTCGTCGTTAGCCATTTAAAAGGTGTGCGATTGAATTGCATTTGTTTGAAACTTTTTGAACCAGTCATAGAAAATAATGATCACGTTTCAGAGGATATGTTAACGAAAGAAATCGCTTGCAGCCATATAAGGGCTTGGTCATATTTTTTGGAAAGCATACGTAAAACGAATGAATCTTGTAAATTTGTCGCCTGGCCTTGTCCACAAGGAACGACCTCATACACGAATGGAATGTGTTTCCCTATGGAATCCACGATGTGGTCCCAAGAAATGGGCTACAGAGCTAATCGCGGTCCTTTAGGAATTTATTATTTACCTACGAGGAAAAAAGAACCATTTTGTGGTAAAGTGAACTTGCTTGTGAAACATGCAGAGAAGAAACATTTACTTTCTATTTGTTTTCTTTTCTTTTTTTTTTCTTTTTTTTTTTTTTTTTTTTATTAGGTCAACCTCTAAGAGCGTCGGTGACAATTTCCGAGAGGGCACCAAAGACATCAGGAATGTTATTCTTGCAAATCGTGGAACGTGATTCAACGACAAATTTCAAGTTTCAATGCAAGTAAGAAATGCTTTCGTATGCAATGTATATACAATTCTTGACAAAATATTCTATGTTCAAGGATATCCGCTCGGAGGAGTAAATCAACAATACTTTACGATATTGCTGCAGCGGAATATCAGCTCTTGTCGAAAGGTCAATCAACGATAAAAGCGCGTATTTGGTATCAACCAAATCAAAATGAGAAAAATGATAATGCGACTGTAATTTTAACCTCTGATATATTGTTAATAAACAAAGTCACTCTGGAGGATAGAAAAGGAAACAAGTATGTGAATACATAATTGTTTAAAAATAGATGTGTATCATTATTAATTAATACTCTATTTGCATATTTAGGTGGGAATATTGTACTCAAAATATCGCTGTGAATTTAGAAGAAAATTCGATAATACTTCATCAAGGAGAGTGTACCGTTTTCTAAGAAAATCTTCGTTTGTCGTGTAGAAAATAAGTTATTGTAAAAAAATGTTTATTTTTATCATGTATATAATGCTAAAGAAAATAAAAAACAAATTGAATAGAACACAGATTGTTAATTGAACAATAACTTAATTTTTCAATAATAAATTTAAGTTGGTATAATTTTTTATAGAACACATTAGATAATTTATTGCAAAAAAAAGAAATTATTTGAAATTGCGCGCGAAAATCCAAGTCAAGTATATATATATATATATATATATATATATATATAAACTACAGTGGAAACCTAACCTATTTATGATCTAAAACTGATGAAATTACCAAAAAATAACAGCAAGAATGACATTTTTTTTAAAAAGTCTTTCTTCTTTAAAATATTCGAATCAAGCTTTCAAAACCGTAAGCAATTGTTATTTAAAATAATTAAGTATTTAAAATGAATTAAGTATGAATTACAAAACAAATACGAAATTATGAAATTAACAATTCAACACAATAATATCATTTAATATCATTTAATCACAATAATATCCATTTAATATCATTTGCAGGCTATTACATTCCGATATTTACAAAATTTCGATTTACAACGTAATCCACAAGTTAGAACTATCAACATTTTTAGATCTTTACATAAATCAAGTGAAGTACAATCGTTATCAGATGGGCAAAAAACTCAGAAAAAAGGATCTACCTTGAAAAAGAGTTTTATCACATGGAAAAGTGTACTAATCACAGGCGTGGGATGCACAACTCTTTTAATGTACATGTATTATCTTCAAGAAAAAAAAGAAAAGGAAATAGAACTTGAAAGGAGGCGACAGTTAGGAAAGGCAGCAATTGGTGGAAGATTCGAGCTAGTTGACTGTAATGGAAAGACATGGAAATCAGAGGACTTTTTGGGACAGTGGGTTTTAATATATTTTGGTTTCACGCATTGTCCTGATATATGTCCAGATGAACTTGAGAAACTAACACAAATTGTCAATATCCTAGGTATGATATAAATGACAGTAGTTAAAATATGTCTTAACTTTTATATTAAAACTACTGTTTCAGAAACGCAGTATAATACAAAAGTTCAGCCTATATTTATTTCTGTGGATCCAGACAGAGATACACCAGAGATTGTAGGTAAATACATTAAAGAATTTTCTGACAAGATTCTTGGCCTCACTGGAACCAAAGAGCAAGTTGCTAAAGTGTGTAAAGCTTATAGAGTATATTATAGCAATGGACCCAAGGATCAAGATTCAGACTACATTGTAAGTAATTCATTTTTTTTATACAAAGCATAAATTGCATCATTCAGTATAATCATTCTAGTTATATTCCAGGTTGATCACACGATAATCATATATCTTGTTGATCCGGATGGTATGTTTGTAGATTATTATGGTCTAACTCATAGTGCTGAACAGGTTGTGTATAGTGTGAATATAAATAAGTTAAAATATGACAACTTAAAAAAAGATAATTGGATTCCGTCATTGTCACTTAAGAATCCATTACCAACGTAAATTATTTGTATTGTATTATTATACTTAACTATATTAATTAATAGTTAAATCTTAAATATTTCCTATGCATTTTTTGCACTAAATGTTAGTATTTGCTATAATTGTATAAAATACTAACTGTAATTGTATAAAAAATACAGTTATATTAAAATTAATAAATAAATACTTATGATTTGAATGAGATGCGGATAGTCGATCGATATATTCGCTTCACATTTATTCCCTAGATCTATTTCCGGTTTACGGAATTCTTAAGTATTCGATCTTTGTTTATACGCAGATGTCTTTGTGATATATTTGCGAACTATACCATTGATATTTGAAAAGTATTTTTATTATTAATACCTAGAAAAATCGGCAAGACTCTTATTTAAAAGAACTTGGGAAAATTTACCGAAGGAGACAACACTTTTACTGAGGTTAGAATTTTTCGTATTTATATGTCATTTCAATTCTACAGCGTGGAAAAATTGTCAACAGAGTCTAAACTTTAAACTACAGTTTTCCTACTGATTTATAATAGTATTAATATTTTTTGACTTTAATATAAATTAATATTTCATTAATAACAAAGTAGAGAAAGCTAAATCAAAATGACAGAAGATTTTGGGCGAGACACACCACCATATACAACGAACGAAGAAACAAAAACTGCTGGACAACCACTTTCAGACTTTCTATTGCAACTCGAGGATTATACGCCAACGGCGAGTAAACAGAGAATTAGAATTTTAGTTGACATTATGATCAATAATATTAAATTATACTTTTAATAGGTACCAGACGCTATCAGTGAACATTACTTACATACTGCTGGTTTTAATACAACGGATCCAAGAATGTAAGCAATTTGCAAACTTAAGTTAATCATATACATATAAGCAAAACTTCAATAACTGTCTCATATGTACATAGATATATGTATGTAATAATTTTAGAGTAAGATTGGTTTCGTTAGCTGCACAAAAATTTATATCTGAAATAGCGAATGATGCTCTGCAACATTGCAAGACGCGTGGAGCTAACCAAAATACAAAAACAAAGGGAAAGGATCGCCGTTATACTCTAACCATGGAAGATTTGACACCAGCAGTTGCAGAATATGGCATCATAGTTAAAAAACCACATTATTTCGTTTGATTCAAAGTAGCATTTCAATTCATCTATTTTTATTTACGAATCATTTTCAATTAACATTCTTTGCGCATATATAGAATAAATTTCTAACACAATAATTCATTGTATAATTTTCATAACAATTAAAGCCTTATAATGAAAGTCAAGATGTAAAATTAATGTAATTCAAATATTGTAACAGCTTCAGTACAATCAAAAGATTGAAATATATTAACTCTCTGTTCGAGAAAGTAATTTAAATATTTTTTTTTATTGATATTACAACAAGGTTAATGTCAATATTGTTTCAACATTTGACAACATTGAATTTAAAAATTTAAGTTTTCAAAGTTTCAAGAATCGTCGTTGAGATTTGATTTCTTAAAAATAAACAATGATTATTAGCGAACATAAGGGGATCCAATTGGAAAATTTCCTTTGAAACGTGGAAATACACATCCATGTTTAAAAAAATGTCCTCAGCTGATAGTGACTAGAAAAAACGTATAGTATTCGACTAGTAACTTTTCAATACGTCAGGGATGCCAGCAATTCCGCATGCGCTTTATTCCGAAAAAACCATCAGCCATATTGGTGTGTTGTATCGCTGTCCTCAGTAATTTCGAAGATCAGTGAGGTATTTTTCTCTCATTCATCATCCGATCCCTCTCACATATCTTACTAAATGAATAATCGGGAATGCCGATGTGATATTTAGTCGGAATAGATTGCCATTTATGGATATTTATGACATTTGTAAGCGGGAAAAGTTTGGTTAATGTTGCCACCTGGGCTCACGGAAATCGGTCTGTTTAAGAACATGTCGTAAATAAATGCGTACTATTTTCACTGGATTGGAATGTTCATCAAATATTAACACCCTCTGCATTGTTGCCTCTTCACACGAGTTTATCATTACTAGGTGTCGATTGATTTAAAAAAAAATCACAATTTTTTACGAATACTTTGCCACCGTCTGCCCTTTTCTCTTACCTTCGTTCACTTTTGCTTCATATTGTTTTTTTTTTCATTTATTTATTCCAGTTCCATGCCTTTCACGATAAACAGTACAATTCATGTCCTCGTGACTATCGTTAATTATCATGGTTGCTCGATTTTCGTCGAGCAACAGGTAAAAATTATCAATACAGTTTTCTACAATTCTGCCAATCATTTTGAATCCATAAGTGATACTTTTACAGTCTCTTTATTTCATGAATATAATCTTCATGTCAGTATGATTTACTTAAAATCTTTAGGAGATCTAAATATTAATTCTGTAATTTCATTGTTATATTTTTAAGAACAATCCACATGCAAGAGTTTAAGAATATAATTTCTCGTATGGTCAATAACAGTTTTTTTAACTGTTGCTTTATTCTATAATGAAGTATTATATTTTCAGCAAATAGATCATCATGACTGATTCGATGAAATTTGGTCCAGAATGGTTTGTAGTGTTTTTAACAACTTTAACTATTAATTAATGTTTGCTTATATATTTTATTTGCTAGAATGAATATATTGAATATATAGGTTGCGCAATCTATCTGGAGACACTTGCAATAGTAGTGGCGGTGGTGGAAGTACCACAAGTTTAACTACACCACGTTATCAATTAGCTGAACATAGATATGGGCGAGAAGAAATGTTGATCTTGTTTGATCGCAATTGTAAACCTCCTGAGCCATTGACAAATTTCTCATCTTTGTATGTTGAGAAAACTCAACTTCCTTTGGCGCTTATACAAATGACAGAAGATGAAACGGTAATTAACTACCAAGTATATTTCATATTTTCATATTTTCAAATTTGATACTTATGTCAAAATTTGAAAGGTATTTATATTTAGTTATAACAAATAGCTGTATATAATAAATTATTCTTTTTATGTAAAATTACTTGATTTTTGTAATAGTATGGTTAATAGAATACTAATTAATATTGTTCAGTTATTATATATTCTTAATATATCCTATATTGAGAACTGCCTCATGAAGTTAGTTTGAAGTTCTAAAAATATAACACACTGGACCCCTTGTGCCAGTTCTTCATTGCACTCTCCTATTTGCTTTTGTATATTTTACATAATCATTACTAATTTATTATCATTCTATGATATATTCATTCAATGATGTAACTATTATAAATTGAAACGTTATTTTTCGCTTATCAACATACATTGTATACTTATAATATTTCTGAAATATTTATATAAATTATTTGATAAATTCTAATAAATTTGATAAATACATTTGACTGTCATAAAATTTTTTTAGCGAATGTGGAATGGAGGAATAACCAACGCCGGTAGAGGAAGAGGTGGAAGTGTAGATCGTGGGGGGCGTGGAAGAAATGCAAGAGGTAGCTTATATTCCTCTCATTATTCCCGTGGTGTTAGTTTCGATGATTCAGGAGATGGCTCACGAATTGATAGTCAATCATTTCAAGTACGTAATTTTCATTTTATAAAATTGATACGAACCGAAAAATCTAAACCAAATATAAATGTAAAAATCCAAACTAACTTTTACCTACTTTACAGAAATAATCATTAAATATTACGATATCTATAAAGTTGACAATTTTTCATCATCAAATTCTTCAATATCAAATAGAAGAAGAATATTTTTTTTGTATTTTATCAGTAAATATATATTTTATATCCAGGGAAGAAATCGCCCGTTTGATAGATCTCAAAGTGAACGTGGTTGGTCAGAAAGAAATGGGGTCTCAGATCCAGGAGAATGGAATGGTTCTACTAGTCCTAGAAAAGAATTACGTTGTGGGGCTAGTGGTAGTTCTCTTATGGAAAGCAATTGGCGGCGTCATCGTGGTGGTACAGAGGAGGATGACGGTTGGCGAAAATGGGGTATACAAATATCTATTTTTCTATTTACTCTACAAATATATAATTAAACAAAGAATATTATCTATATGATAGTTAATTTGTGTTTTAGGTAGGAGTAGTTGGCGTGAAAGTGGTAGTATGGATAGAGATAGATTAGAAAGGAATGAAGGAGATGGAGAAGAAGGACGAAACACTGGAAATAGATGGGAACATCGTGGAAATCATAGGGTTACACACGATTCGAGTCATCATCCACCCCCTCGTACAACACGTATTTGGGAATCAAATCATCATGATAATCATGATAATCTTCCCGAATGGTGACTTTCTAATTGTTTTTATCACTAATACTAATCTACTTAAAAACTCTAAATATATTTTAATTATATTTAATAATTAAAATCCATTCTAGGGCTACTGAAAATCCTAGTGAAAGTGGAGGAAGTTTCGATGCTTCAGGTGCATTTCACGGTGGGATGTATTCAGATGATGATGAAGATGGGGTGATTAGTGCAGGTGGTACTCAAGAATCAAGGACTCGGCGTGTTTCCGAAGGAAGTGCTGCTAATATAAAAAAATTACCTAGTAGCAAACCTTTGTCTTACAGCTCGACTCAAGGACAAATACCAAGTCGTAATACCAATAGTGGGATTAATTCAGTTAGTAAAGAACGACCGAAGTCCTTACATCCGCTAGATGATAAAAACGAACCCATCGAGAAAGAAAAGAGGGGCAGTTCTCCAACAAAACTACCTATTACAATAACGGATAATACTCCTACTAAAAATTTGACACCAACATCATCTGAAATTTCACAAAAGCGAAATACAGTAGCAACAAGTACAGAGCATACGGAAACTGAAAAAATATCATCGACTGATTCAGAAACTGATAAATCTCCTGCTAAAGAAAAGAAGAAAGAAGATGTTGAAACGGAAACAAAGATGGATCCAATTTCTACCAATATAAAAAGACAAGCTCCAGTGCAAACAGAATCTCAGAAGCTTGGGCATAATGCGGAAACGGATAACGTGAGACAAAAGTCAGAAGATGATTTGGATAGAATGAAGGAAGAAGCTGACGCACTAGTTGCAAAATTGATGGCAGATGAAGAAAACCATAAGGAGAAGACTGCTAGTATACCACCTTCTATTGGTAACCAACCTTCTACAGTTCCACCTACGAATGGACAGGAGAAATGGTTTTACCGTGATCCACAGGGCGAAGTTCAGGGTCCGTTCTTAGCAAATGAAATGGCAGAATGGTGTAAAGCTGGTTACTTCACCGCAGGATTAATGGTAAGAAGAACTTGTGACGAACGATATACTACTTTAGGAGACTTAATGAAGATATGTGGCAGAATACCATTTACACCTGGACCTGCCATTCCTCCCTTAAAGGTACAAAATTTCTTCGTGATCTTTTAAAATATAAAAAATATCTGAAGGTTAAAGAAGATGCATAGAAAAAAAAAGATTTTTTTCTTATCTGTTTTTTTTTAGTTAGCGGATCAGGTAATACCACCTATTCCTAACACAGTACCAGCTGGTATGTCTGCATTGTCGAAAAGTATAGAAGATCCACTTCTTTTACTTCAGTATCAACACATGCGATTGATACAGAATCAGCAATTACTTTTAAGACAAGTACGAACATCGGCTATTGCGAAGCTTTCTCAATCCGAGCATTGGGCAACATTAAGTCCTTTGGAACAAAATCAATTGATTTATCAATATCTTATTCAAGATTCAGAGATTCCGGAAGTACCAATCTCTACAAATCCATTCGTACCTCATCTTCCGACTCAGGCTTCAAATCCGGTTATGCAACTTTTCACCCAAATGCAACAGGTAGCAATTCATTTCAGTGAAGATGATAACTTATAAAATCGTGATAATGTCTAATTAAAATATTCCTTTTTCCGAAGGCTAAGACACAACCAGAAACTCATCTAACGCCAAATCCACATTCAACTACAACAGCACATCCACCTACGATTGATCCTATACAGCACCTTATACAACAAATGGGTGGTATGCAAAATGTACCGGGAATTCAGCAATCAAACATAAATACAACGTCAGCTGCAACGCAAGAAGACAATCCTATAAAATCTTTGTTACGTCAACTCAATGTCAATGCAAACGGTCATCCACAGACATCTCATATCGATACTGTTTGGCCACAACCCCCACCGCAAATAAATCCACAGTTTAATGCACAGAATTGGTTAGCGCAAGTACGTATAACTTGCTACGTTTAATAGATTTCTTCTTAATTAAAATATAGTTCCAATCGACACATACATTGTTCAGGTTGGACCGATACCAGCTATACCTCCTGGCCAATTGCCTACATCATTATGGGATCTGCATACTAAAGAAATAAAGACTGAACAACAGATATTGGTAATTACAGTTTTTCAAAAATAAATTTATTTTGTCGCTTAAAGTATATAATTAAAAACTGAAAATAATTATGGTGTTACAGGAAGAACAGAATCTTCGACTACAAGAAGACAGAAAGAAAGAAGAACTTCGAAAACAAGAAGAATTACAAAGACAAGCTGAAGAAGAGAATGCGAAAAGAAAAAAGGAAGAGCAGGCTAAACAAGCAGAAGAAGCAAAGCGCAAAGACGAAGAGAGAAAAAAAAAAGAAGAAGAAAAGAAACGGAAAGAAGAGGAAAAGCGCAAACAAGAAGAAGAAAGGAAGAAAAAAGAGGAAAAGAAGCGTAAAGAAGAGGAGAAAAAACGAGAAGAGAAACGAAAGCAGGAAGAAGAAAATTTAAGGAAAAAGCAAGAGGAAGAAAAGAGGAAAAAGGAGGAACTTAAAAAGCAAGAAGAGAAACAAAAGAAAGAAGAGGAAAAAAGAAAAAAATTAGAAGAGGAACAGAGAAAACAAGAAGAAGAGAGAATGCGGTATATTTCACAAATGATGTTTATTGAATACTAATTATTTTGGAAAAAATTTTATGAAACCTTTTAACAATTTTTTATTTTTTTTTCTTTTTTTTTTTGTTGTAGAAAAGAGGCAGAGGCACGTAAGCAGGCTGAAGCTGAAGAAGCTCGGCGAGCAGAACAAAGACGACGAGAAGCGGATGCACTCCGTCGATTACAAGAACGAAGTAAAGCACCATGGGCACAAGCACCTCGTACACCAGCTCCTGCTACCCCTGCTGCTTCATTAGCTGAAATTCAGAGACTCGAACGAGAAAAGAAAGCGGTATATTCTCAAATGATTAAGAAAGCATTATCATTTCACGCTGTATACTCATTAGTTATAAATATTGGTTCAGGAAGAACAGCGATTTCAACAAATGATGCAACAACAATTAGCGCAACAGAAAGCCATGGAAGCAGCTCAAGAAGCATCAATAACAGATTCTTCTAAAAGATTGCAATTTAAGTGGGCAGAAAAGGCTACAACTTCTTCTAAAACCGTACCAGTAAAGAGCCTTGCACAGATTCAGCAAGAAGAGCAAGAACGAATCGCCAAGGTAAAGGTACTTATTACTTTTTCCATATCTTATATTCTATATTAGTTATAATATATAATTGTTAATATATTTCTTTAGTTATTTTTCATTATATTTATGTATTACACATATTACATATTTATGTATTACACATGTATTATACATTATATTTCATTGTATTATGTATTCGTGTAAAAACAAAAAATTTAATCGTTAAATGACAATTATATATTGCTGATTGTTATTGCTGACACTTCAGCAGCAAGAAAGGGAACGCCAAGAAAAAGCAGGACAGAAAGAATCGACGAATGTGCTACAAAACGCTGGAATATGGGGTACCGCTTCTCAATGTTTGAATTGGGCCAATTCAAGTAGCTCTAATAGTCAAGCTTGGTCAAATAATAGTAGTACAACTGGTTTCTGGGACGATCCTACACCAATCAAACCTTCTACAACCGCGAAACAATCTATTAAACAGATTGCTACAGCAAAGGCTCTTACTGCCAATCAACAGCAGCAACAAAGTAATAAAACAAACAAGAGTAAGAATAAACGAGAAGAGGAACTGGTGAAGAAATTATTCGAACAAAACACTGCCAAGGCCGATGATTTTACACAATGGTGCAACAAAGCCCTGAGTGGTTTACAAGTGTCTGTAGACAGTAAGTTAGAGACTCTTTCACATATATATTTTTGTTTCGTTTATAGATAGTTTGATGAGCAAATTTTACGTGTATACAGTCCCCACATTTGTTGGATTTTTGCGAGACATTGAGTCTGCGTATGAAGTAAAAGAATATGTTCGAGATTATCTGGGTGATAATAAACAAAGTTCTGAGTTCGCGAAGCAGTTTTTAGAGAAACGTAGCAAGTGGCGATCAGCCCAACGACCTCAGGCACAAGCGGACGACTTGTGTAAACCAGCGCCTGCTGTTAATCCTAATGCACCTACGGAATTTCAGGAAGTAAAGGTATTTTGATATGATAAAAGCTAATAATGATGGGTGATATATTTTACAAGCGTCTAAGTGCTTAACATGATTTTTCAGGGAAAGTCAAAGAAGCCAAAGAAGGGGAAAATGTACAAAGTTGATAATAGAATTCTTGGCTTTAGTGTAACCGCAGCCCCTGATCGTATTAACGTAGGTGATCGCGATTATGGGGAAGGTGTTTGAATTAATTCTGACAACATTAACTGTATTATGGAAATTGTGCAACGCTTGGCCCAACAGATGGTTTGTTATTTATTTATTGTAGATGCCAAATAAGTTCTAAGGAACCCGTTACGAGTACTTCGTTAAAAGTATATAAGATTTTTCTATGATTATGTGTACAAGGATTTTATCTCTCGTATCCTTTACTCGAACATTAATGGGAGCCTTAGATACCGTTTAGCGTGGCATTATTTCCTTTTAAAACGGAACTGAAAGACACTCCGAAAGAAAACCCAATTGTACATACTACTCAAAGAAAAAATACTTCATAAAGCAAGGCGAAATCATCTCCTATTTACGCAGTATACATATAAATATAAATATAAATATATATATAAATATATATATATAATATATATATATGTATACATACTATATACATATATAGTATTAACACATTTTGTAATATTTCATTTTCATTACCGTAAGTAAAGAAATTATGCCGATCGATAACTTGTACACGCGGAAACATCGCAGTCGAAAGCAATATGTGCTCATGAAGGTGTTCGCAAGCAAAAATAAATTGTTAATACGTGCTCGTGATCAAAAGAACATCGATCAAACACGATGTTGACGGGGTGCATTGATATTTGCTTGTATCGAGTGCACCGAGTATGATAATATATAAATCCTATGGATTTCTTGCTTTATCGCAACATCAAGATAAAGATGCAACTTTGCCTTGGATTATATTTCGCTACTACGTTTTAAGAAAATAATTATCTTATGTTTGATATATTGAATAACTTTTTTTTTAACCAATTTGCGACTGTTTTTAAGAGTAAACTAATAATATTTTGACTGAACGATTGAATGCTAGCAACAATTCGAACAATGAATTATATATCATAGAGCCAATTGCTCCTTACTCCAAAATTTTGTTTACATAAACAACCGTAAATAAAAAATCTTATTAAAAAAAAAAAAGAAAACTATGTTTCAAGGCAGTGACATTGCGAAGAAAAAGAAGCTCTTGTACTTTCTTAACACTTTGAATACAATGATATGTTTAAAAGAAAAAAAAAATAGTACTTGCATGTTGTACGATTTAAAGAAAATAAACTATCTTCCATTCTTCTGTTTTGCACCAGAAAAAAAAATATGAAAGTAAGCTCATGTAATGTTAGGAACGTGTACTGTCGATTTTGAAAAATTTACATAGCACATAAGGAAATTTCAGATTGATTACTGCGTGTGCCTACGTGTGGATCTCACTCTCGTCGGCATAGCCTTCTTATATGTTGAGGTCAATTTAACGATAAATATTTAACAAAGAGTTTTATGTAAGATTTTAATTAATGCAATATTTAAAACCAGTATCTTTTGTAAAGTTTTAATTATAATTATAAGTGTAAAGAAGTGTCCCACCTCTAACAAGGAGTTCAGGAGAAAACTTTTAACACCTGTTTGAAAAATATTGATTTTTTTTTCTTTTTTTTTTTAATTAAACTAAATTTCGGACAAAGTGGCACGAATACTCTGTTTATAAATGCGGAAAATGTTGCGACAGATCTGACCGCTCTTAATATTATAATGGTTGTTAATTAAGGGTCATTGACCTTCTTTCAATACAAAAAAAAGTATTTTCAGAAGATCATAGATCCTTACATGAAAGATTTATGTATAAATAGATAAATGTACAGTAAACAAGGATAATTAAATAGACAAAAAACAGATCATTGAGATATTGTATTAATATTATTATTGTATCTAACGTACAACATATAATAAAATAAATATTATTATATTTTCAATTTGATCTTCTTATTTTTTAGGCATTAAAATTAATATAACAGCCAATATAAAAAAAAATATGATTGACACTATATTTTGCATATAAATAAGCATTGTAACTATAAAATTACACAAATTCATCAATCGATCATATAATAATTAAAACAAAGTTTAATAAGAAAATAATAAAATAATTTTACACCATTTTAATTTTTTTTAACAATTATATTTGTACTTTGGACACTAAATTTCATTTTTTATACATATACATTCATATAACATGAAAATATGCTATCAAAAGAATATTAGGAAATATTTTTACAAAATGTCAGTTGATTCTCTTATGTGAAAAGATATATTAAAAGCAATATTATTAACAACCATCATATCGATAGGAATGTATTGGTATATAAAACACATACTATTAAAATGTTCATATCATCATTCATTTTGTACATCTTGAAAATGAAGTATTAGTCTTCTTTTTCGTCTCCACGAGAGTGTATGACATTAATTTCGATATAATCTTTTGCAATATCAATGTACTAAAAAAATTATATTTGTTAATAAGTTAATATTTCATACTAAATATATTTAGTTGCAAAAATTTCAGCCTACCTTTCGTGGTACAAGAATTTCTAAAACTTGTAAAATAATGTAGCACAATGATACAACAAGTAAATAAGGCAATACTCCACTCTGAATGTAACTTGCTAATTGTTGACCTAAATTTTTTTTGCTTTCTTCTTTTACTAAATTATAAACTATTTCAGTCCTTTTAGTAATATTAAACCAGTTATAAAATAAACTTATTCTTTTGTGCATTTCAAATGGACATCTAATATTCCCTTTTTTATAATCTGTTATAGCTGATTCTAGCCCACTAACAAGAGCAGGTACTGTAGGCTCTACTAAATAAATTAAATCAGGTGGTAATACTTCAGGTATACCACCAACCTTTGTTGAAACAACTTGTAAACTAGAATAAATAAAAACATTATGTAGATATATACAATATAAGAATAACAATTTTCTTGACGTTATAATTTTACCCGCACGAAGCAGCTTCAACAATTGCCATACAATATGCTTCTGTCAGGCTTGTATTCAGAAATATATGACCTTTGTTCAATACATGTCTTATCTGAGAATGCTCCAAGCTTCCAAGTAATGTAACCCTGTGTTGTAACAAGTTTCTTTCTCGTACTTCTTCTATGAGCCATCTTTTGGGACCATCTCCAGCAATTAGAAATTGCACATTCTCGTACCGACTACAAAGATCGGGTATAATACGAGCTAATAAATCGACACCTTTGCGATATACTAGTCGCGACACTATGACTATTGTAACTATAATTAATAATAGATAACGTTAGTAACATTATGTATCTCTTGTCAATTCCATTGATTCATGTACATGAAAACAGAAACTAACTTACTAAAATTATCATCTCGTTTACTGGTGTCAGGCATAAATAAAGTAGTATCGACTGCATTCGGAATGACAGAAACTTTCTCTTTCAAGACTTTTGCTCTTAATACTGTATTCTCTTTTCCAGTATGCGATACACATACGCAATGATTGCAATCGGATAATGATATCTCTAAAAATTTATTTGTCAAAATCGCAGAGGCATCCGCGAAACCAAAAAGTGAATGATCTGTAAAAATAGTCTGAAATCCCAGCAAACAAAAGACAATATAACATAAAAACATTATATATTTTGTCATTGAGTAAAAAACCATTTACTTTCAGTCCCATCAAACGGCCAATTAGCATCCCTTCGTGAGCAAGAGCAGAGAATGCAGAATGACCATGAACTATTTGAATTTCTTCTCTCAGAAAGATATATCTAATGAGGGGGATAGAACAGATCATTGTTGGAAGAACACATTGATTATAGAACACTTTTACTGGTATATAGTATACCTTAAACATAAAATAATATATTTTTATCACTGATACATGTTATAATATAAAGTATAATAATATCATAACATAAAATGGTATAATATGAAATATACGATATAGTATAAAATACAATACATGTTATACATACTTTCAACCCATTTGTCATGTAACGTATTCCAATTCTATCACCGTAAGAATGTGTGAGCACTACAACTTTGTGTCCACGTCCCATTAAACATTGAGACAAATTAAAGATATGTTCCTCAACACCGCCCATATTGGGATAAAAAAAGTCAGACACCATACTGTAAAATTGAATCAGACATCAAAGTCCTTTTTCTTTCAAAGCACATTTCATTCTGTGGTAATGATCCTACTGCTGAGAGTATTTTGAATTATATTTTGAATAATAAAATAATTACAAACCATATCTTATGTTTTATGGCGTTCATAGCGACGGCTAAATTGCAACATGACTCATATAGTGAGATATGTACTTCGTTGAATCTAATTAAGAACGTCTTAAGTGCCTGATAACATTTTGCATGCAATGGACGTGTGAACAAACACACGTCAATGAGTTTATCATGTTGTAAACTTTATTAAATAATTTTCATATCGCTAAATACCGTATCGAGTTAGAATTAATAAACTCTCGAACAATCGATCTTATCTTTCACCGTGAAGCATTCAAATACGACGAATGTTTTATTTACATAAAAAATCAGAGGTTATAAAAACTTCAAATGTTCATGACACACTTATAAAATTGATATCTTTCGTTCTTTCAATTTTAATTAAAAGCATTGAAATATTCGTGTTTTTGGAATACTTTCAGCATAGACAAATTCGTTGCAAATTTATTGTCAACGAAGTAAAAACAAAGGAAACGAACATATTCAAATCGAACAAAAACGATTCGACTTCTCATTAAAATCAATGAGTTCTTTCGAGGTTCTGTATCTCGAAAATCGATATCCGTTTAGACGAGAAGATTGAATCTTTCTCAATCTACAATATGGTACGTAATTCAAAAAGTCTAGTAAAAAAGTCACTTTTTCTCTATTGAATAAGTTTATTTGTAAAAATTTTTGACATACTGTAAATTATATTTTCAGATGCTCTTCTTTTCATTTCTATTTTACCATTTTATTATTTTATCATTATCAGTAAAATATAAAATAAATAGTATTAAATAGTAAAATATAAAATAAATGGTATAAATAGTATAAATGGTATAATAGATAATAATAGATAATAAAAGTGTATTAGATAATAATAACAATAATAATAATATGTTAAATTAGTATCATCCAAGATAAAAAAGAGATTTATAAAAAGCCATTGAAAGGTAGTGCTCATGCAAGGTAATATCAGTTAAATACAATCACTTAAATATCTGCATATTTATCGTTGTATGAAAAAACCTCTCAACAGTTAAAAGTGAAAAGTTACGTTATTCCAGGGGCTATATTAAATTTTTCTCAGAGTTATTTCTTCTCAAAGAGATTTTACCAGTGATTTCTTTGATGAAACTACGTATTTTTTTCCAATAGAGAGCATAAAAAGATAAATTCAACAATCGTATTTAATTTCAAAACATTTGTACCTAAAAGTACACATAATCATAATTTGCCAAGTATTTATACAGTAGAGCAAATTACACATTCATATATATATATAAAATATACGCACACGTATGTAGAAAATTATTTTCAAACGCAAATAATGCAAACAGTATGATCATTAGGTTTGTTGAATTTGTTTTTTCATGCAAATGTATTGAGAAAAAATATTCGACTCCGAAAATTACTGACGATCTTAAAATTTCATAAAAAAATCATCTTGAGAAAAATTGATTTCCATTCGTAACGTTTAAGATCTAACCTCTCTGCTTGAAACTTTTTTCATGCATCTGCAAATAATGCAGATATTTCAGTGATTTCATTTAACTGACAATGAGACACCCTCTATGATCCGTCCTATCTTATCCATACAGTAGCAATTGTTACATCGTTGATGACTATGCGTGGAGAGAGAGAGAGAGAGAGACACATACACACACACAAACAGAGAGCGAGGCAGTGCAGACGAAATACATTAGTTAAGAGAAGATAGAAAGATAGTGGAAAGGAGAAGGCAATGTATGGTTTGCTTATATATGGACGGTCGGTGAATAACAAATGGTCGACATGTTTCATCAACGATGCGGTCACCGTGTAACTTTGACAAACAACAATTGCACGGCCATACGAGATTTCTCAGAATATAACCATGGATTGGTGTTCAGCGCAGAACCACTTAAGGATGACGAGTTGTTCGAGGTCCGCATCGACAAAAAGGTACCGAGTCGCGAGCTTCAAACTTGCCCAATTTGTTGGTACATCGCTAGTTCATACATCTGTCAGAACGTTGTTTACTACAATGTTGATAACTTGAATTTTTATCGTCGAATTATTTGTTCATATTTAAGAGCTACACGTATATCTACGTGTAGATCTATACATGCTCTTGTCTCACGACATATATATTATCAAAAAATCAAGTTGTTAAATTTGTACTTTGTTCACTTTGATCATTATCTTTAACGATTTGCCTGTAAATTTACCGCATTGTCAAATTTAAAACACACATTCGTGAATTACATCTTAAGATTTAATTATCTTTATAGAAATACAATTGCATAGCAAGTAAGTGTGCCAATAGAAAGCTAAAAATTTTTACACAGTATTATTTTGTATGAAATTATTTGTTGAATTCAAATAACGTTATGCAGATGACATCATGGAGTGGCAGTATAGAAATTGGCGTAACAGAATGTGATCCACAAATAATAGAATTACCAGCTTGTGCCACTAATCTTCGCCAAGGAACATGGATTATGTTTGATTCTGGTATAATGCATGATGGAATAAGAACAGTAGAAATGTATGGAATGGATTTAAATGAATTACAAGAAGGAAGTACTTTAGGAGTAATGAGAACATCTAATGTAAGTCCTCTTTTTGTATATTAATCTTCATTTTGTATATTAGTGTCTAATAATTGTTTTGAATAGTTATTTCATTCGCTGTTTGTTTTATTTTAATTACAGCATGAATTAATATTTTATATCAATGGTGTCTCTCAAGGAGTAGCTGTTTCCAATATTCCAGAACGCATCTTTGCAGTTGTAGACATGTATGGTGATTGTGTACAAGTGACTATAACTCACCCACAAATTGCCTCTGCCCTGTGCAACGAGCCAAAAGACGAAATTGAAATTAATAATGATTTTGCTTTTGAAGAAGCATCTAATTCTTCTACAACTAATCTAGTCGCTAATTTAAATGTTAATTTAAATGTTAATGTTAATGTTAATTTACCTAAGAATCCGAGTCCTGCTGCAATTAGAGAGGATAGATTGAGGTTTCATGAGAGAGTTGGTTCGCTTGTAAAGTTGTCCAATAATGCCAGAACTGCAGAAAGGCGAAGACCCTTAGACGAATTTAATAATGGTGTTGTAATGACTCACAGGCCATTAAGGGATAATGAATTATTCGAGGTAAATCAGGAGAATAAAAAATGAGAAATGATTTTTAATTACTATAAATTATACCATAATATTACCATAGGTACGAATTGATAGACTTGTACATAAGTGGTCAGGTAGCATAGAAGTTGGAGTTACGATGCACAGTCCAACAGCATTAGAATTTCCAGCAACAATGACTAATATGCGATCGGGAACAACGATGATGTCTGGGTGTGGAATTTTAGTAAACGGAAAGGGAACATGTCGCGAATATGGAGAATATAATTTGGATGAATTAAGGGTAATTCAAATGAAAATGAAATGGTACTGTTAATATTTTATATGTAATACGATAGAAAATATTTTAATAGGAAGGTGATAGAGTAGGCATGATTAGACGGAGCAATGGAAATCTTCATTATTTAATAAATGGATTAGACCAAGGGATTGCTGCCAAAGTACCTGTAGGTGTTTGGGGTGTCATAGATTTGTACGGTATGACAGTAAAAGTAACAATTGTCGATCGTGATGAAAGGGAGGAACAAAATCTAGTTACTAGACGAAACACATTACAATTACAAGGTTTGAGTGGTAAGTGTGCAGTACCAATCATATCATTAATTTATCGCACAATATTGTGATAAATTTTTCAAAAAATTTTACTATTTAGAAACAGAAGAAGAACCGCCAGACAGACTTATGTTTCATTCCTGTTGCGGCACACATGTGGAAGTGATTAATAATGGACGAACTGCGCATAGGCCTAAGTAAATAAAAATTTCTTCAGCAATATGCACAAAATTTTGCTGAAATATATATATATATGAAAAATCTATACCATTGTTTTTTTAGCGTAATGGACGATTTTAACAACGGTGTTGTATTAACTTCAAGACCATTAAAACCAAATGAATTATTTGAAGTGAGATTGGATAAAATTGTAACAAAATGGGCAGGATCTATCGAAATAGGAGTTACCACTCATTCCCCCACTGAATTGGAATTTCCTTTTACTATGACAAACGTTAGGTATGTAAAATAATATTTACAATTTGTCTTAATGTATTTACATTTTCTTAAATTTATGTTAAGTTTATCGCCCGTATTATTGCTCGAAGGTGGTCATGTCCCTTGCAGATCCGGTACATGGATGATGACAGAAAATGGGGTCATGCATAATGGCACTACGATAATAGATCAATATGGGCAGAATCTTGATCGGTTACAAGTCGGAGATCGTGTAGGCGTAATGAGGAAAGATAACGCAACATTGCACTTTTACGTGAATGGTGTTGATCAAGGAGCTGCAGCAATGAACGTGCCTGAGAAAATCTATGGTGTTATAGACCTTTATGGGCAGGCAGCACAGGCAACTATAGTTGACAATACAGATTTCTACAGTCCTACTACAAACAATTCAAGCTTTAGCAATACAACTCTATATAGGTTTGTAAATTCAACTTCGTTTATTTTTAACTTTCCGCCGATCAAAGATTAAACATACAATTGAAGATATTTATTATTAATCACTTTTTCAAATAGTGACTTGCGATTTCATCATATACATAGTAAAAATGCAAGGATAGTAAATAATGGGTTGACTGCATTGAGGCCTAGAGCTTTAGGAGAATTCAATGAAGCCATCGTTATTGCAAATCGTGCGCTGCGTGATGGCGAAATGTTCGAGGTGACAATTGATAAAATGGTTGATAGATGGACAGGAGCGATTGAAGCAGGTATATATTTAAAATTTATATTTTTTTGCTTATTAGGATGTTAGTAAGAAAAATATATATATATATATATTTTTTTTTTAGGTGTAACTCTTATAAGACCTGACGAATTAGAATTTCCATCTACAATGACGGATATCGATCACGATACTTGGATGTTGTCTGGATCTAATGTTATGCGAGATGGTTTTATCTTGAGAAATAATTATGCCTGTGATTTGGACAAATTAGTAGAGGGAAATCGCATTGGCATGATGCGATGTTCAGATAACAGTTTACATTATTATTTAGATGGAATAGATCAGGGTCCTGCTTGTACGGGAGTACCACCGCATGTCTATCCTGTGATTGAACTGTATGGACAGTGTGTTCAGGTACTTCTTTATAAATGTGAAATAATAAAAAGCATGTATTATATTCTTTTGATATTATATTCTTTTGTAGACACAAAATAACAAATACCGTAATACATTATTTATGTTTATCAGGTTACAATTGTACAACCGGAACGTAGAGATCCAACGACACAACAGTATTTGCCATCGGAAAACAGCACTAGTCAGCAGCCTACATCTGTAATTCAACTTCAAGCTCAGGCAGAAATAATGCATAAATTTCATGAATCTGTTGGCTTAAATGTCCAATTAAATGCCGATAGAACAGTAGCAACTAGATGTAGAGAATACAATAATGCTATATTATTAAGCGAAGTACCGTTAGAGAATAATGAACTTTTCGAAATTGCCATACGAGAAGTTGCTCGTGAATGGAGCGGCTGTTTAAGGTTAGGTATTGTGAAAAATGAAAGTGGAAACTGGTTAACATCTATGAATCTTGTACCTGGCATGGGGTCCATTTCAACAGATGCTTGGTACTTGACAGGTAATATTAGATATTTATTCAGGAATCTTTTTTGAAATTTATTTTAAACTATTAAAATAAGATAAATATTATATATACTATATCATTTTACTATATCCTAAAATTTAATGTATTTAGGTAATGAAGTAAGACATAATGGATATGTTTTATGTATGAATTACTGTCCAAGTTTGGAATGGTTACGTGTTGGTGACAAAGTTGGATTGAAACGTACGCACGAGGGTAATTTAAAATTTTATATAAATGGAGAAGATATGGGCATAGCAGCATCAAATATACCGGAAATGATATATGCTGTAGTTGATCTTTTCGGTAGTACAGTGACTGTAAATATAACAAGTAGTAAACAACAAAACAATGCAGTATCTCCAAATGCTAGCTTGAGGTTGCAAGATTCATTGGAATTATTGCTAGATCCTATGCCACCAGTTTTACGAAAGTATGTTTGAATTAATTATATTTAGGATGTCTGTGTTTTTCCTTTCTTGATACTTTAAAAATATACAGTATCGTTATTTCATATATAGTGATACTGGAATGGACACGTCTGTAGATGTATCTGAAGGAAAATTAATAAACGACGCAGCACTCACACCGACACAATCTGCAGCTCATTTTATAGGCGAAAGTGATTGGAGTTATGAGTTTCATGAAAATCATGGTAGAAACATACAACTGGAAACTAAAACTTCTGCACGAAGAGTTGCAAGTTATAATCAAGGTATTATTTCTTCGTAAACATATACCTTTATTAGGTCTGACATTTCCTATATTCTGTCTATGTATTTTTAAGGAGTGGTAATGTCTAGTCGTCCTTTAATAAAAGGCAAGCCATTTTTAGTAAAAATAGAAAAATTGAACAAACGATGGGTTTCTAATATATTTTGTGGTGTAACTTGCATTTCACCTGAAAAAGCTAATTTTCCTTTAACCGCTCTTGGTTTTAAAAAGTATTCTTGGATTATTTGTAGCGATTGGATATCACATAATGGCATCAGGGTAAATATTAAACAAATTGATATAATACCTATACACCATATATTAATGTATACATGTATACACCATATAACATGTATTAACAGACTTTATACTTATTACTAGGTAAAAACAAAATATGGAGCTGCTCTGGAAAATCTTCACTGTAATTCAATAGTAGGTTTATTTATTGATGATGACAACAGACTGCACTTGATTATCAATGGTGTAGATCAAGGCGTAGCTGCAACGGATTTACCACCTTATATTTATGCCGTATTTGATCTGTATGGGCAATGCGAACAAGTTTCCATTATTGCAAATAATGTAGAGGCATTCTCATCTACTATTGATAATACTGTAACGTCCGTGGAATGTATAAGGACGAAATTGGAAGATGCGGAAAATTCACGAGAGAAAGCAGACTTAGAGTGTCATGAGAAAGAAAATGTCATCGCAGCTGCTTCTTCGGACTTATCGTCTTCTACCTCACCAAGTGTTCCGAGTCAATGCAGTTCAAACGCTAAGGATGATGATATTGTGGAATACGCAACGTGTAACAACGATAATGTGCATTTAACGAATAATATTGAAAATAAAGCAGTGCCCAGTATCTCAGACAGTAATAATCTGGATTCAAACTCGGATATGAATCACGATACAACACGAAGTATTAAGAACAAGATTTACGATAATTCGAATCAATTAAATAATAGCTCGATATTAAATAGCCAGTCAGAAAATTTGAGTACTAGAAACGAATGTACAAATGTAGAGATAAATAATGCAACTAATATTAATATTAAAAATGGCACCGCAAACAGCACCAATAACATAACCAACTTAAATACTAATGCTAATAATGCAATAAACGAAAGCATAGTATCTAATAGTCAAGGAAATAATATAAGCTCCTCGCATCAAAACAATACATCTGTTAATATATTAAGTTCATCTCAGACATTCTCATCTCAGACTACATTGAGTAACGTAACATCTGATATTTCGAACACTGTTTCTTCTAGTTTCAACGAAATGCGTTCAAATATGTCCTGGAACAATACAATATCCGTTGATAATTCTATTGGTGGAAATACAATTTTAGGACAAAATACAGTGTCTATTCACAATGCACCATTATTGCATTCATTGCTACCGTCCACACCTCTTGGAACAAACATTATACTCACAAAAAAATGTGAATATTTAAAGGCGTGTATGAGATTGAAAAAATCATTGGTTTTACCAGATGAATTCTTTTCCTTAGAAGATGTACTTTGTTATTGTAATAACTGTTATAAAGTAGAAGGAGATAGTGCAATTTGCAAAAAGGGTGAACCACCAGCAGAATTCGCTGTACCGATTGGATGGACCAGGTTTCCATTGAAACAAAGTATTAACGCCAATCAAATTCCACAGAGTACAACTGATAAATGGCATGTTGCTTTCTATGGTATACGTCTAGATGCGATCAGGTAAGTAAAATAATATATTTATAATATTTGATAAAAGAAATCTTTTTACATAACTATAGTTCCATGTATTGTTTTTAGACTGATTCTCGATACAGGAGAACTTATGACAAAAGAACAATTGGACGTGAGTAATTTAACAATGAATATAAAAACCGAAGATCAAAATCCTCAGGTAGTCTTCTCTCCTAGTATAAAATATGCAGCATCCGAGGAATTTACCAAGAAGTATCCGTAAGTATTTTCACATATAGCAATGATTAATTATTATTTTAAATTATTAATTTTTCATGTTTCATAGATATATTGATACTCAATCAAATAAAAAGTTGAATGCTTCAACGGCATTTCAACTATTAGTGAGACCTGGCTCATATACAATTAATTCTGGTGGTAAAGATGGTGATGACCCGCAGTTCGAATCTGTTAAATGGGCTACCAAAGAAGCTGGAGCTACAGTTATTATGGCTCTTTTAATTCACCTCGATGGATTTTAATTTATATAACATGAAAGTTATAGAAATGATTCGGCAATGCACGAGAAATGCACTTTCGTTTAAGGTTGATGAATGTACATAAAGATTGTATAACGTAATATAATTACCGTAAGATAATTTTTTAAAATCAATTTTTTATCTTGAATTATTCCGTCGAATCTCCGCTGTGTATATTTATGTTTAATTGTATATTAAGTATTCGACGATAGAGATCGTTTCTCGTTAAGAGATTTTCGTTACCTTGCTCTTAATTAAATATGCAGTATTAAAGAAAGATTAATAATAGATGTAATTTATCGTCAATGGATCGAACAAATTTGTAATAATCAGTTCATTAAAGTATACAGTAGCGTGTATATCGAATGGATAATATGCATTATGTTACACGTTTAATATAATTACTGGTCACAGCGGTAAGGATTATGTCGAGTGAATTCCAAAGGTTCGTTGCTACATTAAAAAAAGAGCACCTTAACCCTCAAGCTTAACGCCTAATGAATATCAAATCTTTTAAGTATTAATAACACAGGTAAAAAATTTTCTTTCTCTCTCTCTATCCTCTTGTCTTTCTCTCTCTTTTTTAAAAGCACGATTTCACAGCATCCATAAGAAGATCTGTATAATGTAGAAATAAAATAATACTACTGTAAATCATACTACGAGGTTAATGTAGAGAATTCAATAATTAAATAGCCAAAAAATTGAAAATATTCTCGGAAAATATAATAATTATATTTTCAAATACGCCACTTAGAGTTGTAATTTTTCTTTGTGAATATCATATGCACTATGAAAACGCATACAAATAATATAAATCGAAAGAAAATGACGAATGTGTCTATCTTTGACAAGCAATTCATTCAGTTTGTTGTTATTATTCATTTTGCTTTTTATTTTATTCCTTTGTTTTAATATTAACTACCTTTTAATTAGAAGAACAAAATTGTTACGAATTTTATAATCTTCAATAATTTCTTATGTACACTACAGTTATTTATACTATAAAATAATATACATTTTATCATATATCATTTAAATAAGCATTTAATTTAATGTATATATATATATATTTTTTTTTATATAAATATATTTTTTCGTGTATGAAAAACTTCAAGAAAATCGTAAAATGTCAATGAGAAACATTTCAACAAAAAATAGGATGCCTTTCTCTTTTTTTTTTCTCCAGTTTTTTTTCAATGTTATTGGATAGCAATACTTTCTTTTTTAAATTCTACACCCAAATTCGAACGTTTTGGTCCCAGGAGCAAGTAGCAACAGCCATACCATTTCCAGCAACGCTGAGTGATGTTACTCGATTTTCGTGACCCGTTAAAACACCTTTAAATAAAAGGTAAGATCAATTCTTATTCGCGAAAATTATCAATATTTTATTTATTTACTTATTTATTTTTTTTTTAGTTTTAATGTTAATAATAGGATATTTACCATTATGTACATTTTTCAATGTATCCCATATATGAATGGAATTATCATCGCTTCCACAGAATATGAATCTTCCGCTGAAGGATAAACCGCAAGATGTGTATCCAGGATTTGAATTTGGAGGTTTAAACGTAGCTAACTGCTGATCTGACCTTAAGTCCCACAATCTCGCCGTTTTATCTTCCGATGCCGTTACAAAAGCTTGTCCCGAAGGATGATACTAAATGAAGATAATTCTTAACATTATAAGATAATCTTAGAAATTAAAAAAGTTACACACACACACACACACACACACATTTAAAGGAAATTTTAAATAAATTTAGTAAGTATTTATTAAATATAGACATAAATGAATCAAAAGTAAGCTATAATAAAATATAATTTCTATACTAACACAAACAGAGTTGACATCAGCTTCGTGTCCAAAGAAAGTTTGTTTCGCGTTCTCTTCTCTTATGTCCCATAGTTTACATGTTCTATCCACTGATCCGGTAATATATGTGTTTCCGTCTGGAGCTAAACTAATACTAACCACGTCTCCAGCATGCGCGCAAAAGTCAGTAATTTTCTTGTTCGCCTCCAAATCCCATATACAACTAGAAGAATATTGAATTACTAGAAAAAGTGAACATTAGCAAAAAAAAAAAAAAATAACTATTATCTATTATTGTTTTATAGGTGGGAATACATTTTCATGTCACCGGATCCAGTGATAATCTTTTTATCCTCCAAGAATCTGCAGGATGAAAGGAAACCTTCGTATCCTAGTAATTCTCGAACGATTTTTGCCGATCCTGTTGCGTCACGATTGTTCACATCGTAGATAGTGCACATATTATCCATACCACCGCAAGCAACGAAATTCCCCGAGGGTGCAAAAGCTACCGACATCACCCATGCCGAACGTAATGGAATTACCTGAACTTTATTCCCAGTCCACGAGTCCCAGATGATTAATTTTCCGTCTAGTGAACCAGTCACGCAATGCCTAAAAAAGTGATATCCATTTTGATTGATTCGAGATCATTGATCCGAGATTGGACACAATCGTTACGGTTGATTTCACGAGATCAATGATCAATACTGACCTACTATCACCGCTATAATGCACCGAATTCACTTTATTAATGTGTCCCTTTAGTAACTTCTTCGTAGATAATTTAACTTTCGGCGCATCTGGTACGCTGCTACATGTTTCCACCAAAGTTGTATCTTGTTGCTTCTTTTGATCTTCCTGTTTAGCAAGTTTTATCATTAGCAAGTGAATTTTCAGTTATTATCAAAGAGCGAATTTATTATAGCTTTTCTATTGGATTACTGTCAATAGTAATTTTGTAATACAACCTTGCATTTGTTGATCAGATCTTCCAATTCTTTTTTCAAAGCTACCATCTCCGAGTCATCCTTCCCCATTTTCAGGCGTCTTACTTTATTGTTAAAGGTGTTACTTTATTACAAAACTACTTGCAGATCTGACGACGAAACACCGACGATGATAGACTTACGGATACTGCGAACAAATTTTTATCAAAATGTAAAAGAAGCCTCAGCATCGTCTACATTGCTGTCCCAGTAATCGTATTAAATTAACGCTTGATCCTATTTGTTAGGCATTAGTTTGGCTCTCTGACCTAACTTAATTACCTACATACACGATAACCCTCATTGTTCCAAGTACGTAACTCTTCCTTTTCTATTTCATTTTTCATTGTTTATTTACAGATGTATGTACATGAAAATGTAAAACTCCTTTTTCCTTGGAAAATAAAAGTAAGAAGAATGTCTCGAAGTTACAGGAACTGGAAAGAAGAAAAGAAGTACGTGGTTACGGTATCGGAGTCCTTACAAAAAGTATAATCCGTTGCGCTTTCGAATTCCATTTCACCTATAAATGATTCGATTTGTATGGCTCCATGTAGTTTTATCGATTTATCGATCGAAGATGGATCTAACGCAATGAATTTTTTATATTGAATGAATGTAAATTTCGAGAACGCATATAATTTCTTTTATTCATTTCACAGTTTCCTTAATTTTTGTTTAATAAATGTAGAAAATGGTGTACAGAAAAGGAAATATTATACTGATTAGTGTTTTAATGTTAAACAATATTGGTGTTAACGCTGTTGCCAAAGAAATTTATTTCAATTCGCCTCGAAACGACAATGAAAGTGCAGCATGTGCTGAAGAATCGACAAATATATTCAAACAGATCGTCGCTAAATGCTATAAAACAAGTACAAACTCTTGTGATAGGAATGCAAAAAGTAAGGGTAAGAGCATTGTATCATATTCTTTATTATATATATATATATATATCTACTATAATTTAAAATAATCACACAATATTTTATACAATAGCTTTAAATTATAAATAATAAATAAAATAATTATAAATAATATAAAAAATATTTTTACCAATATTTTTAATAATATTATATATTGCTATTATCTTTAACAAAATATGTAATATTGTTAAAAAATTAACACTATAAATACTATAAAATATTATATATAAACAATATAAAGCATTGTTTAATGATAAACAATTAACAATAAGTATTGTAACATATTCAAACAATATTGTAACATTCAAATAATTCAGGAAGGGTTGCCAATCTCGTTCACAATTTTATTAAGTTGGTAAACGGCAAAGTGACATCTTCGAAATATTATCGGCAATGTCGATAACTACACGACGAAAATATGCGAGGTGTTTCGTGTCTCAGCTAGACATTACTTAATTTTTCGCTAATATTCGAAACATGCACAATGTACAACAAAAGCTTTTATTTTAAATTCTACATCTAGAGTGAAAGTGATGCACAATGCGTATTGACAATTTCTACACTGCGAATATTACGTCTCATGTTACTTAAACAATTAAGATTCGAGATACAAACTGGTAACATACAATAAACGAATTAAATCGTTGTTCGTGCATTGTATAATCAAAGATGTCCACTGGAATTTCATTCGGAATGGTAAATGAGAGTCAAGTGCCGAACGTAGTCGTCGAAGATAGTAACTTTCGTTCAAAAAGCGTGGGAGTACCGACGAATTTGCTTTCCGTTCTTCGTGGCTAGTCTTAGCCAGTGCTGTGCATTTAACACGCTCGTCTGCGCGTTTGTGGTCCATTCCAATTGAAAATGCGTGCCAGAAACATTGAATGCTGTGTTCTTTGGTGCTTGTTTCTAACCTACCACGTGGTTAGCGAGACTCTACCATCAATAAACAAAGACGGTAACAGTTTCATTCAACATTTCCTAACAATTTTACTAGTATCTCTGAAACAAAAAGATGTTATTCAAGTTAATCTGAATAAAGAGTTGCAGAGAGGATATATAAATTAGATCAATTACAGATGTTTGCCTTATCATTCTTAGTTATTATTTTCCATTAGATTGTATATGATCAGTATATGTTTTGTTTAGTTAAAATTCTGTTTCATCTTATTATTTTAATATAATATATAATTCCATTTAACATGTATTAACAATTTTATAAATGTCTCTCAAGAAAAAAAACTTATTCGAATTAATCTGAATGAAGAGAATATGTGTAAATTAAATCAATTACGTGTTTATCTTATCGTTCTTAGTTTTTATTTTCCGTTAGATTGTATGTGATCAATTAAAGGGAAACACAGACCGGAGAAAGTGGAAAATATGTTTCTAGTTGTATTTTTTAGTTTTAAAAAAATTCTTTTTAGTATCGTTTTATTATTTTCGAAAATATCTTATAAATTACACTATATATTCGTCTGAATTTCATATGCCTGCGCGAAACATATTTTCTTGGGAAACTTATCTAAATTAAGTGAAATTAAAATCGTAACATTACGGAATGGAAATGTACATACAGACACGCGCGCATATACCTTTTTATATTAATTTGTATATTTTTATATAATATATAATTTATATAAATTTTATTATATTTATATAATTTTATATTATTTATATATATTTTTATAATATATATATATATACTTTTTAATGATTTTATAATTTTTACCAAAATAATTACACTCGAATTTATAAAATTCTTTTTTATTAAGCCCTGGCATAGCTGACGTAAATCGTAAATGAAATCTCTCGATATTATTTGCTGGTTTTCTTTGTCGTATATATTTGGCAAGTGAAATTTTTGTTACGTTGACCGTAAAAACGATGAAATCTTACGACTCCTCGCGGTTTCGATCATTGAAAATTAATTTATTTTTTACGTCAGCGGAACGTAGAAGCGATCTTATCTTATTTGTATCAAGCACTGACTTGAAGGCAACTTTGACCTCTTTCAACTTATTAATTTACAAGATCACTATATTTTTATCCGTGGCACAATTCGATCACGGAAATGGGAATTACATCACTTAGTTAGAGAATTTCTCATGTTGTAATTAATATAAACCGTTAAAAAGTTAGCATTGTTAAAGATAATTTACAATTTACAATTTATAGATCGTTCATTTACAATTTATTATTGAACTTAATTAATCTTACAAACAGTAAAAACAACAATGATTTATAAATATAAGTCATTGTACATATTTACATGTTTACTTATATATTTGAATGACGCGCAGTGTAGTTAAAAAAAAATAATTGGAACAATAAAGATAGATCATATCTGGAGGCAGATATTGTGTCATGCGTTCACCATTATATATTCATGAATCTCTATAAAACGCCTTGGTATCTCCTTCAATGAAGAAGATGTAATAAACTGTTTCTTTTATTGTAATTTTAGTTAAGTGTCATGGTCTCGATGTGTGAAATAATTACTTACAAAGAAACAAGCGTAACTTTACAGTTATTACGATGCATTCAATGCACAAAAATAATGCCTAACTGTTTAGTTTTCTAATTTGGTTGTCTCTAGCTTGACAATAATTACGCGACGCGCGCGCGTGCGGGCGATATTGTTATCTTTCCATTTCCGGTTCCAGGCGAATATACGGATACACGGATAGAGATGCCTCTGTCTCCAACTTTTTGAAATCTCTCATCATCGTTACAGCGATTTTTCAATTTGTTTTTTTACGAAGAAAACCAATATTTTCACATAAATTAATATAATATTAAATATTATTATTAAATTATTATAAATAAATATATTATTAAATATAATATTTATCACGTTATTTATATATGTCTATGTATTATACATAAATATGATAAATATATTAAATATAATATGTTATAGATATTACAATTTTTGCGTTTGATTCGTATTCTGTAGAAATAAAATTAATTTTAATGCCCCGTTTTGCAATCGTGCGCGGTAAGGTCTACTCAAATTATGTAATAATAATGGCTTTCAGTAATTGAAATTGCGTCCAATGTGAATCCAGCGGTTTCGTCGAGAGATGACGTGACTCTTGACACATACTATATTACGCTCGAATCATGATGTCATGTAGAAAATGTAGCGCTTATGCGAACGAGGCGTCTGCCTGATTTTTGCTTATTCAACTCGTATGTTGATACTATGTCGCTGAAAATAGACACGTGAACCTTTCCAACGCTAGGGGAGCTATTTTGAAAAAAAAAGAGAAAAAAAAAGCAACGAAATAAAATTTTACTCATTATCCAATGTTACAGTATTATTACCGAATGCATTGTTACGGCTATTGATTTATTATTTATCATTTATTTTTTCAAAATTAATGCATAATTTGAATATTTTGTATCATTTGAAATTATATGCTTTACAAACCTCTAAATTTTACGTTTTGAATTCAAAGAGAAATAAATGATTGTCCTTCTACGTACATTAATCTACCAATTTTCTCCTGCATTTGTTTTGAAATACGAGAATTTGATTGTTATTTAAATTGTGTGTAGATGCACTGGTGTATACTGTCGCTACGAATGAAACTGATGGTTACAAAAGATTCCTCAGATCGATTAACGTTTACGGAATTCGCCACAACTTGAGGGTTCTTGGTTTGGGAGAAGCTTGGCTCGGTGGCAATGTAAAAACTAGCGCAGGAGGAGGATATAAAGTGAATCTTCTGAAGAAGGCTCTCGAAGACTACAAAGATGATGATCAGAAGATTATTATATTTACAGACAGGTATCTTCCACGTGTGATCTTCTTTCTTAACTTGTTTAATCTGCATCTTCCGATATTTTCATAATTACTTTCTGTGTTTTTAGTTACGACGTGATATATTTAAGCGGCTTGGCCGAGATCATCAACAGGTTCAAGAGCATGAACGCTAGAGTTCTGTTCTCCGCAGAAGGGAACTGTTGGCCGGATAAATCGCTGGCTTCTAAATATCCACCCGCGAGTCGAGGAAAACGCTTTCTGAATTCCGGAGGTTTCATAGGCTACGCCTCGGACATTTACGCGATTTTAACGTACGCCCCGATCAAGAACAAAGATGACGATCAATTGTTCTACACGTTGGCATACCTCGACGAGAAATTAAGGGAGCGTCACGAAATCAAACTGGATCACAAGTCTGAGATATTTCAGAATCTCTATGGTGCTGTAGGTAAGTGTAAAGAATGAAGTAAAATTAAGTAAAATAAAATTACTTTATTGTTCCTCTTTTGCAGCTGATGTAGAATTAAAATTCGAGGGCGGCAAAGCCTCGCTTTTAAATACTGTTTATAATACAGACTCATTGATACTCCATGGAAATGGTTACAGCAAGTTATCACTGAATTCTTTAGGAAATTATTTGGCTCACGCATGGAGCCCTGAAGAGGGATGTATAATGTGCTGGGAAGGAATGATAGAATTGGATAAAACAACGTCGAAATCGTATCCGATTATATTAATTGGTGTATTTATCGAACGGCCAACTCCTTTCTTGAACGAATTTCTAGCTGCAATATATCGACAAGCATATCCAAAGTCGAAGTTACATTTATTTGTACATAATAACGTGGGGTATCACCAAGATGTAGTTGATAAATTTATAAACAAGGTCGGGAAGGAATATGTTAGCAGCAAGCAAATCTCTGTGAATGATGCCATGAATGAAGTTGATGCAAGAAACTTAGCTATGTATGTATCAGAAATGCATCTTTAACTAAATTACTCTAAATTCTTTTATATTTCAAGATAAAAACCGTTTTCTCAGGGATTATTGCTTATTAAAGGAGTGCTCTGGATACTTCTCCATTGATTCTGTTTCTCATTTAGACAACGAACATGCTTTGAAACTTCTAATAGAACAGCAGCGAGACATTATCGCGCCATTACTGGTCAGACCGTATAAAATGTGGAGCAATTTCTGGGGGGCTATAATGGATGATGGATTCTATGCTCGAAGTTTTGATTATATAGAGATCGTCAAGAATGAACGCAGGTAAATGGCAAGAATATTTTACAAATTTGTTCTTTTCATGCAGCTTATATTTATTCCATCTAAATTATCTGTGTGCAAAAATTATACATTTCGTGAGAGTTGTTTCATCTCCCTTTGTCTCTAATTATTTTAAACTATATATATGTGTCCTAAAGATAGTAATTTTCAATTTCCATTTATGTTCTTGCTAAACTACTTAAAAGAAACGTAAACTTAATCGAAAGCAATGGAGAAGTCAGTCTTGAAGGATCTTCGATCGATACTGTACATGTTGTCGGCTGTACATTCGTAAACTCCAGCATCCATTTGGGTCGCAGGATCTATTTCCAGTTTCGATTTCACTTTGTCCGAATCAATTTGCCATTCGTGCACCTTCGTATATAAAATATTCATCATTGTTAATCATCGTTAAATAGAATTTAATCATCGCAGTTAGGATCACGTATACCAACATGTAGATAAAGATGTGTATAGATCTCAGCACCATCCTTGAACCATGTGATGTGCGGTCGCGGATTTCCACGTGCGATGCAGAGGAAGGCGATTTTATGCCCTAGAACGTACTCCAAGTCAAAGTGTGATGCCAATATTATCTTCGCCCCCTAGATAAACGTTTTTGGAAGACACTTGAGAAATTAGGAGCAAAACTGCGACGATTAACTTGGTCTATGAGTCTACGTACGTTATGATTATTGTAATATTGATCACTTTCTGGATCACGATACTTTCCAGTAATGGGCAATCCTATTTGAACTCGCGATCTGGTTTTCCCTCTGCCTCGTCCTCTTCGTCCAAAAGTTTCATGGCTATTTAATAACAATACGATCAACAAAAATAACATCACCGTAGAACGTGGCATGACGACCTGAGCAAAGGAACTAGAAATCAAGCCAGTGGTTAAAATGTGTAGAGAACGGATGATTCTGTGGTAATATGTCGCAGATACACACCGAGTACAAGCAACGTATGACGATCACACGGAACTCCGATGTAACTAACAGTCACCTACTCATTACTCCCCTAGTCTTCTCTCCTATCTATTACAGATGTATAGGCAAATACTGCTGAACTGCATATATTATATACGTGTACGTGCTGGTATTACTTCGACACCTATTACAACTCGGTCATCATCGAATTCCAAATGGCCTAACTTGATTTATTAATTTCATGTAGTGACGACGAACCGATTTAGTTCAAGTGAAACAAGATCAGAACATGACAAGGATGGATCGTGTTGTTGCTTTCTCACTTAATCTGCGAACGAAATGGCAATTGGCTAGATAATAAATTTGTGATGATACGTATTTTCAACGTTTTATGGTTTGCGCTATAGACGTAGTACCACCCTTGTGTGAGAGTCAATTGTGATTTAATGAACAAGAGATGGGGGAACTGTAAATTTCCAAATGTGCCTCAATGCTTTGAAGTTCTTAACAATTCATACGTTAAAAAAAAAGATAACAATGTACATTCTATTTTTTTGTTTTATTATTATTATTTTTTATAAATAAAATGTTTTTGTAGTGTTATAAAAGTGTTAAACTAGCTACTACTAGATCTAGGAATAGTTCTAAGTAAAGTCTAGGTGTACAATTTTTAAAAAATTGAGCGTGTGATGATTAAAATTAACTTTTCTGCTAAAGTAGAGAGATTGGTGTTTAAACTTAAGTATTGTAACTACAATGAAAAGTACTGATTTTAATAAGAGATCATGACATAATCCGTTCTAAAGCCACGGCGATCAACCGCGTATTGATTATCCGCTTGGCATTCATAATATCCCGCATCTTTTTGGGTAGCAGGATCGATTTCCATCTTTGACTTTAATGTATCATTACCAACAGGCCACTCATGCACCTGCAAAACACACACATTTTACAATTCTTTCAATTCTCGCTCGCAGAAGTTGCTTCTCAAAGAATGTTTTTTTTTAAACATTACGAGTTTTACCTGAAAGAATTTATGATGATACAATTCAATTCCATCTTTCAACCAGGTGATCTCGGGCCTTGGAAATCCAGTGGCCATGCAGAAAAACGTGATCTTCCTTCCCAGCATGTAGTCCAGCTCGAAGTGTGAAGCTTTTACTATCCTTGCTCCCTGTAAATTCGTCGATTTGAAGAACTGACGTTTCACTAATCGGCTAATGCTTTTTAACTTACGTCTTTGTTTTCGTAGTAGTTGGCACTGGCAGGATTTCTGTGTGGAATCAGAATTGGCATCCGAGATTTGTAAACTCTTCCGCCACCGCGCCTGCTACCACCTCTACCTCCTCCACCTTTCGCCGCGTCTGTGCTCACCAATAATGCAGTAAAAAAAAATAGGCACAAAAGTCGGTGTCTCTTCATTTGTTCTACGGTGATCATAGAGTTCTCAATGTCTCTTTGGAACGTCAATCTTTCCATACACTTTACATAAAGCCTTGGATGTACCTTGGCTTCTTCAACTAATTTTGATTGTTCTAACTTGAAGTTTTAGAACACTTGGACTATATTTTTTAGGTAACTTTTTCAAAACGTTATGCTATAGGGATGGTCGGATTGTATGTATAACTTTCACCGAAAAACAAAGTTGTTGGTGAGAATAGTGACACAATCTCCAGATGCTTACCGGCTACACAGAACTGCTACTTTTTGACAAGTGGCTAAATCATTGGGCTTCGCCTGTCCCTACAGCCTAAAATATGAATGGATGGTGGGCATGTCGTCATTGGTGACAGAGTTATGAATCTCAATTGGATAATTATGCATAACCAATTGCCAGTGTATTCATCGGCCAATCACGACATCACAGTGATTGCCTCACGAAATATTGTCTCGCGAGACTACAAACAAGTTTGCTGGTCCCTTCGATAGTTCCGCGTCTGCTTCTTCACCGGCCTTGAAATCCTGAGAATCATAGATCGATTGCATACCCACACACGTGCTGTCATTTGTTAAAACGATCTATTCGTACGAATTTAGTTCTTCGTTTGGATCATCCTTCTCTATTGCAATAATTACCATGTTGCTTCGAAAACTTTAATACCTGAAATATTTTGATATTTAAAACACTTTAAAATATTATAAATGTATTACATACATGTGTGTATATATTGTACAATATTGTTTCAGGGGACTATGGAATGTTCCATTTATCAGTAATTGCTATTTAATTAATGCAACACTGATAAGGAACAAAAGCACTCGTCCGTCTTATTCAGAAGGCGATTTGGACGCAGATATGGCTTTTGCTTACGCTAACAGAGAACGGTATATCTTTATGTATGTCACTAATAGACTTGACTTCGGGCATCTCGTTAATCCAGATAATTATGACATCACGGTCACTCGCCCGGATTTGTATCAAATTTTCGACAATAAACTGGACTGGGAGAAAAAGTACATTCACGAAAATTACTCGGAAAACTTTAATCCAAATCGAACACCAACGCAGGTGAAGAAAACACATTTTTACATGTGTTCTTATGGAATTTTCAATATTTATGGAATATGGAATTAATACTCAATTAAATGTTCGTTGCAGCCTTGCCCAGATGTTTACTGGTTCCCCATAGTCAACGAGAGATTCACGAAAGAGTTGATAGATGTTATGGAAGCGTACGGGAAATGGTCGGATGGATCAAATCATGTATGACAACTTATCTTTGTAGTATCATACTATTGCAATCATCGCATGCAAATCAGTATATGATTTTCAGATAGAACGAAATTACAGGATAAATGTTCGTTTTGTTCCTAGATAATAATAAAGTAATTTTCCCGACAGGATCCGAGATTAACGGGTGGTTATGAAAACGTACCAACCCGTGATATACATATGAATCAAATAAAATACGAGCCACAGTGGCTATACTTTTTAAAGGAGTATGTCAGACCACTTCAGGAACTTGTGTTCACCGGATATTATCATGATGTAAGATGTTTTTTTTTTTTTTTAATACGTGCATTAATCATTTTTAGGATCCACGTATCGAAGGTGGATACGAAGCCGTACCAACACGAGATATTCACATGAAACAAGTCGGCCTCCATGATTCTTGGTTAAATTTTCTTTATGAATATGTTAGCCCCTTGCAAGAGCGTGTTTTTATAGGATACAACACGAACGTAAGAGTTATCAGAAACAGGATTTATGGGGATAGGTTGTTTGTTGGTCGCACAATGTTGCTCACTTCGATTTATAAATTAATGCACCGTTGCACAAATTTCAAGTTAGAAGTAATTGTAAATTTATCGCATCGTTTCCTGTCAGTGGAAGGCTTCGTATTCGAATTCGTTGCAGTTTTTTTTTTTTTTTTTTTTTTTTTTTTTT